TGTCCCACACTATCTCTCCACTCTCCCCCACTATCTCTCCACTCTCCCACACTATCTGTCCACTCTCCCACACAATCTCTTCACTATCTCTCCACTCTCCCACACTCTCTCTCCACTCTCCCACACTAGCTCTCCACGATCTCTCCAGTCTGTCACACTATCCCTCCACTCTCCCACACTATCTCTCCACACTCCCACACTATCTCTCCACTCTCAGACACTATCTCTTCACTCTTTCCACTATCTCACCACTGTCCCACACTATCTCTCCACTCTCCCACACTGTCTCTCCACTCTCCCCCACTATCTCTCCACTATCTCTCCACTCTGTCACACTATCTTTCCACTCTCCCACACTATCTCTCCCCACTCCCACACTATCTCTCCACTCTCACACACTATCTCTTCACTCTCTCCACCATCTCACCACTGTCCCACACTATCTCTCCACTCTCCCACACTATCTCTCCACTCTCCCACACTATCTCTCCAATTTCCCACACTATCTCCCCACTCTCACACACAATCTCTCCGCTCTCTCCACTATCTCTCCACTGTCCCACACTATCTCTCCACTCTCCCACACTATCTTTCAACTCTCGCACACTATCTTTCCACTCTCCCACACTATCTCTCCACTATCTCTCCACTATGTCACACTATCTTTCCACTCTCCCACACTATCTCTCCACACTCCCACACTATCTCTCCACTCTTACACACTATCTCTTCACTCTCTCCACTATCTCACCACTGTCCCACACTATCTCTCCACTCGCCCACACTATCTCTCCACTCTCCCACACTATCTCTCCACTCTCCCACACTATCTCTCCAATCTCCCACACTATCTCTCCACTATCTCTCCACTCTGTCACACTATCTCTCCACTCTCCCACACTATCTCTCCACTCTCCCCCACTATCTCTCCACTATCTGTGCACTCTCCCACACTATCTCTCCACTATCTCTCCACTATGTCACACTATCTTTCCACTCTCCCACACTATCTCTCCACACTCCCACACTATCTCTCCACTCTTACACACTATCTCTTCACTCTCTCCACTATCTCACCACTGTCCCACACTATCTCTCCACTCTCCCACGCTATCTCTCCACTCTCCCATACAATCTCTCCACTCTCCCACACTATCTCTCCACACTCCCACACTATCTCTCCACTCTCACACACTATCTCTCCACTCTCCCACACTATCTCTCCACTCTCCCACACTTTCTCTCCACTCTCTCTCCACTCTCCCACAATATGCCTCCACTCTCCCACACTATCTCTCCACTATCTCTCCACTCTGTCACACTATCTCTCCACTCTCCCACACTATCTCTCCACACTCCCACACTATCTCTCCACTCTCACACACTATGTCTTCACTCTCTCCACTATCTCACCACTGTCCCACACTATCTCTCCACTCTCCCACACCATCTCTCGACTCTCACACACTATCAATCCACTCTCCCACACTATCTCTCCACACTCCCACACAATCTCTCCACTCTCTCACACTATCTCTGCACTATCTCTCTACTATTCCACACAATCTCTCCACTCTCCCACACAATCTCTCCACTCTCCCACACAATCTCTCCACACTCCCACACTATCTCTCCACTCTCACACACTATCTCTCCGCTCTCCAACACTATCTCTCCACCATCTCTGTACTGTCCCACACTATCTCTCCACTTTCCCACACTATCTCTCCACTCTCCCACACTATCTCTCCACTCTCCCACACTATCTCTCCACTATCTCTCCACTCTCCCACAATATCCCTCCACTCTCCCACACTATCTCTCCACTATCTCTCCACTCTGTCACACTATCTCTCCACTCTCCCACACTATCTCTCCACACTCCCACACTATCTCTCAACTCTCACACACTATGTCTTCACTCTCTCCACTATCTCACCACTGTCCCACACTATCTCTCCACTCTCCCACACTATCTCTCGACTGTCACACACTATCGCTCCACTCTCCCACACTATCTCTCCACACTCCCACACAATCTCTCCACTCTCACACACTATCTCTCCACTATCTCTCTACTATTCCACACAATCTCTCCACTCTCCCACACAATCTCTCCACTCTCCCACACTATCTCTCCACACTCCCACACTATCTCTCCACTCTCACACACTATCTCTCCACTCTCCAACACTATCTCTCCACCATCTCTGTACTGTCCCACACTATCTCTCCACATTCCCACACTATCTCTCCACTCTCCCACACTATCTCCCACACTCTCCCACACTATCTCTCCACGCTCCCACACTATCTCTCCAGTCTGTCACACTATCTCTCCAACCTCCCACACTATCTCTCCACTCTCACACACTATCTCTCCACTCTCTCCACTATATCTCCACTCTCCCACACCATCTCTCCACTCCCCCACACTATCTCTCCACTCTCTCACACTATCTCTCCACTATCTCTCTACTGTCCCACACTATCTCTCCACTCTCCCACACCATCTCTCCACTCTCCCACACTATCTCTCCACTCTCCCACACTATCTCTCCACTATCTCTCCACTCTCCCACACTGTCTCTCCACTCTACCTCACTATCTCTCCACTATCTCTCCACTCTGTCACACTATCTCTCCACTCTCCCACACTATCTCTCCACACTCCCACACTATCTCTCCACTCTCATACACTATCTCTTCACTCTCTCCACTATCTCACCACTGTCCCACACTATCTCTCCACTCTCCCACACTATCTCTCCACTCTCCCCCACTATCTCTCCACTATCTCTCCACTCTCCCATGCTATCTCTCCACTCTCCCACACTATCTCTCCACTATCTCTCAACTCTGTCACAGTACCTTTCCACTCTCCCACACTAGCTCTCGACACTCCCACACTATCTCTCCACACTCCCACACTATCTCTCCACTCTCATACACTATCTTTTCACTCTCTCCACTATCTCACCACTGTCCCACACTATCTCTCCACTATCTCTCTACTGTCCCACACTATCTCTCCACTCTCCCACACTATCTCTCCATTGTCCCACACTATCTCTCCATTATCTCTCCACTCTCCCACACTCTCTCTCCACTCTCCCACACTATCTCTCCACTATCTCTCCATTCTGTCACACTATCTCTCCACTCTCCCACACTATCTCTCCACACTCCCACACTATCTCTCCACTCTCATACACTATCTCTTCACTCTCTCCACTATCTCACCACTGTCCCACACTATCTCTCAACTCTCCCACACTATCTGTCCACTCTCCCCCACTCTCTCTCCACTCTCCCACACTGTCTCTCCACTATCTCTCCACTCTCCCACACTATCTCTCCACACTCCCACACTATCTCTCCACTCTCATACACTATCTCTTCACTCTCTCCACTATCTCACTACTGTCCCACACTATCTCTCAACTCTCCCACACTATCTGTCCACTCTCTCCTCTCTCTCCACTGTCTCTCCACTGTCCCACACTATCTCTCCACTCTGCTACACTATCTCTCCACTCTCCCACACAATCTCTCCACACTCCCACACTATCTCTCCACTCTCCCACACTATCTCTCTACACTCCCACACCATCTCTCCACTCTCCCACACTATCTGTCCACTCTCCCACACTATCTCTCCAATATCTCTCTACTATCTCTCCAGTATCTCTCCACTCTCCCACACTCTCTCTCCACTCTCCCACACTATCTCACCACTCTCGCACACTATCTCTCCACTATCTCTCCACTCTCACACACTATCTCTTCTCTCTCCCAAACGATCTCTCTACTGTCCCACACTATCTCTCCACTCTCCCCCACTATCTCTCCACTCTCCCACACTATCTGTCCACTCTCCCACACAATCTCTCCACTATCTCTCCACTCTCCCACACTCTCTCTCCACTCTCCCACACTAGCTCTCCACGATCTCTCCAGTCTGTCACACTATCCCTCCACTCTCCCACACTATCTCTCCACACTCCCACACTTTCTCTCCACTCTCAGACACTATCTCTTCACTCTTTCCACTATCTCACCACTGTCCCACACTATCTCTCCACTCTCCCACACTGTCTCTCCACTCTCCCCCACTATCTCTCCACTATCTCTCCACTCTGTCACACTATCTTTCCACTCTCCCACACTATCTCTCCCCACTCCCACACTATCTCTCCACTCTCACACACTATCTCTTCACTCTCTCCACCATCTCACCACTGTCCCACACTATCTCTCCACTCTCCCACACTATCTCTCCACTCTCCCACACTATCTCTCCAATTTCCCACACTATCTCCCCACTCTCACACACAATCTCTCCGCTCTCTCCACTATCTCTCCACTGTCCCACACTATCTCTCCACTCTCCCACACTATCTTTCAACTCTCGCACACTATCTTTCCACTCTCCCACACTATCTCTCCACTATCTCTCTTCTATCCCACACTATCTCTCCACTCTCCCACACCATCTCTTCACTCTCCCACACTATCTCTCCACTCTCCCACAGTATCTCTCCACAATCTCTCCACTCTCCCACACTATCTCTCCACACTCCCACACTATCTCTCCACTATCTCTCCACTCTGTCACACTATCTCTCCACTCTCCCACACTATCTTTCCACACTCCCACACTATCTCTCCACTCTCACACACTATCTCTTCACTCTCTCTGCTATCTCACCACTGTCCCACACTATCTCTCCACTCTCCCACACTATTTCTCCACTCTCCCCCACTGTCTCTCCACAATCTCTCCACTCTCCCACACTATCTCTCCACTAGCTCTCTACTGTCCCACACTTTCTCTCCACTCTCTCCACTATCTCTCCACTGTCCCACACTATCTCTCTACTCTCCCACACTATTGTTGGTGCAACCCTATGGCTTGCACTCGGCTTGTCGTCCGTGTTTGTGTGTGTGCATGCATGGCATGGAATGACTTGTGAGTCTATGTCATTGCTATCTAGTGCTTGTGTGTGTGTTTGAATGGTGTCTCACAATGTGGTGTGTGTCGGTCAAGACATTAGTGAGTTTTTACAACTCGAATGTCAAGTCGTCGTTTGCGTGTCGCATGTGTTTTTCTATTTTTTCGAGTGTGAAGTGTCCATCGCGTCGCAGGTGTGCGCAGCAAGCCCCCATCAACTCAAGAAGAATTTATCTTGAAGAACCAAGACCAAGAGCTCAAGATTTCAAGCCCAAGGGACGCGGATAAATATTAAATAGTGAAAATAGTAACGCTACTTCGTGTAGTGTTACATTTCACTTAGTGTAGCCCCTTGGAGGGTTTGTTTTGTGACTCTTCGTGGTTGGGGACTCTGTGGTGGTGTACCACCAACCTGGACCTCGGCTCTTGGGGTATGTAGAGGCTGGGAACCATCTCCCTCTCGAATTCTTCTTCCTAAGTTTTTGTACTCCTGAGACCATAGTGGCTGCTGTACCTCCTGCCAGTCAAACCGCCATAGCGTCGTCAAACCTTCATGGAATTTTATGATTCAAATTGCTGCTGATAGGCGACAACAACGCGCTCCAGATCCAATTTACAGATCACCGTTTGAGGCACAAATCAGATCGGCATCAATATTTGAATCTGGCTGACGGAATTCTGACTGTGCACATTTTCTCTCATTTTAGGCACATCTGAGCCTATTGTGATTATAACAAGTGGTATCAGAGCCCCTTGGAGCTGTCTCGACCATGCCTAGACCTAAGGAAGGGGGTGGCAGAGCTGCTGGAGGCAGAGAAGACGCCCAAGCACAAGGTCAACACCAAGATCCACCCATGGCTCCCGTGCAACCTAGCCTTGGCCCCTCTAGGGATGAGCCTAGAGTGTTTGGCCTTGACAAGTTCAACGGTGACAACTTTGCTGAGTGGTCCTTCAAGATGGAGAACATCTTTGACCACTATGATCTGCTAGAGGTGATGGAAGGAACGGAGAAGCGCCCCGAGAACGACCCGGAGAAGAGCCCGTGGGTGCGGAAGAGCGCACAAGGCTATCTTCTACTTGGGCAAGCGTTGGGGAGCAGCCAAATCCGTCACATCAAGCCTTTTCAGCGTGAACCAGCAAAGGGACCAAAGGCATGGGCTGCTCTCAAGGGTGTACACGCTCCTGCAACAGCGGCGGTGGCTGTGGTTTTGGAGCGGCAAATGGCGGCCCTTCGAATTGACGAAGGCGAACCGGTGGAGGACGGAGTGCAGAAATTCTTCGACTTGTTGACACGGCTTGAAGGAGCTGACCTGAACTACAGTGACCTTCAAAAGAAGACCAAGCTGCTGGCCTTGCTTCCGGACTCATGGTCCTCGCTCATCATCAACCTAAATCGAGATCTGCCCCGCCTCTCGCTCGAAGATGTGAAGCGGGAAATCTTACAAGAAGATTTCCGCCGTCGTGAATTGGCGGGTACCGATGGTGCCGGAGTTGCAAGCATGGGCCGTGGGCACGGCCGTGGAAGGGGCAGAGGGCGAGGAGGAAGATTTGGCAGCAGCAACTTCAATGGAGGCCGTGGTAATGGAGGATATGGCAGCAACAACAACAACAATGGCTACGGGCGTGGGCGCGGTCGATTTGATGGCGAATGCCACTTTTGCCACAAGACCGGCCACATGTGGAGAGATTGCTTCAGATTGCCTGATGGATGGACCCCTTCTCAAGGCCAAGAGGGCAGAGGAGCAAGGGGAGGAAGAGGCAGAGGTCGTGGAGGCCGTGGTGGTCGTGGAAGCGAAGCGGCATGCATGAAAGGTGGAGACTACGAGACGGGCCCGAGTGAAGATCGATACCCGGGCCAATTCTTCTTTGTCTCCACGCAAGCGGCAGCTGCAGCAGGAGGTGTGGAAAGCTTTGAGGAACCAGCTACTGTGGGAAAGGTCACCCTTCACTCTCTGGACTTTTGGGTGATCGATAGCGGCGCCACCTATAGCATGACACCTCGTGCGGACTTGCTCACCGAACTCGAACCGTCGCCGGTCAAGCATGTCACATCGGCTTTGGGGCAGCGAGCAGAGGTGAAAGGCATGGGCAAGGCCATGTTCAAGGGTGCTGATGGGAAGATGGTGGGCCTCAAGAACGTGCTTTGGGTGCCCAACCTTGCAGCCAACCTGATTTCTGTGCGGCGTTTGCAAAAGGCCGGCATGGACACATCTTCCAAGGGATCCAAAACTTATACCGCGCGGCTTGGTGAGCGGAAGCTTTGGGACCTTCATGAGGACAGGGACATCTACAATGAAATGTGGCAAATCCCAGTGGTCCCCATGCCTAAGGAGAGGCAAGTGGCAGCAAGCATCAGCACCAAGAGTGAAGCGGTTGGTGGCGGTGATCACGGAAAGCAAAGTGACACCAAGAGTGACTCGAACGAGTGCAATCTTGGAGAGACCAGCAAGGCATGTGAATCCAAGGAGAGTGGTGCAGCAGCCAAAGGTGGTGGAAATGATGAGGAGAATCATAAGATCAGCAAAGCAGCAGCGGCGAAGGAGAAAGGAGAGAGCTTGTGGGGCACAATTGTGAGTGCCGCTTTCTCCCACCCGACCTCCGCTACGGGAGAGTGTGATTGGCTGACCTTGCATCGGCGAATGGGGCATGTGGCATTGCCCATTTTGCAGCAGATAGTCAAGCAAGACATGGTCAGTGGGATACGTGTCAAGGGGGAGCCCAATGAGGTGCTTGGCTGTCCAACCCTAAACCCTAAACCCTAAACCCTAAACCCTCGCTCATCATCAACCTAAATCGAGATCTGCCCCGCCTCTCGCTCGAAGATGTGAAGCGGGAAATCTTACAAGAAGATTTCCGCCGTCGTGAATTGGCACATCTGAGCCTATTGTGATTATAACAACTATCTCTCCACTTTCCCACACTATCTCTCCACTATCTCTCCACACTATCTCTCCACTCTCCCACACTATCTCTCACACTATGTCTCCACTCTCCCACACTATCTCTCCACTCTCCCACACTATCTCTCCACTATCTCTCCACTCTACCACACTATCTCACCACTCTCCCACACTATCTCTCCACTATCTCTCCACTCTCTCACATTTTCTCTCCACTCACCCACACTATCTCACCACTGTCCCACACTATCTCTCCACTCTCCCACACTATCTCTCCATTCTCCCACACTATCTCTCCAATTTCCCACACTATCTCTCCACTATCTCTCTACTGTCCCACACTATCTCTCCACTCTCCCACACCATCTCTTCACTCTCCCACACTATCTCTCCACTCTCCCACACTATCTCTCCACTATCTCTCCACTCTCCCACACTATCTCTCCACACTCCCACACTATCTCTCCACTATCTCTCCACTCTGTCACACTATCTCTCCACTCTCCCACACTATCTCTCCACACTCCCACACTATCTCTCCACTCTCACACACTATCTCTTCACTCTCTCTGCTATCTCACCACTGTCCCATACTATCTCTCCACTCTCCCACACTATCTCTCCACTCTCCCACACTATCTCACACACTATCTCTCCACTCTCCCACACTATCTCTCCACTCTCCCACACTATCTCTCCACTATCTCTCCACTCTCCCACACTATCTCTCTACTCTCCCACACTATCTCTCCACTATCTCTCCACTCTCCCACACTATCTCTCCACTCTCCCACACTATCTCTCCACTCTCCCACACTATCACTCCACTATCTCTCCACTCTGTCACACTATCTTTCCACTCTCCCACACTATCTCTCCACACTCCTACACTATCTCTCCACTCTCACACACTATCTCTTCACTCTCTCCACTATCTCACCACTGTCCCACACTATCTCTCCACTCTCCCACACTATCTCTCCACTCTTCCACACTATCTCTCCACACTTCCACATTATCTCTCCTCTCTCACACACTATCACTCCACTCTCTCCATTATCTCTCCACTGTCCCAAACTATCTCTCCACTCTCCCACACTATCTCTCCACTCTCCCACACTATCTCTCCACTATCGCTCTACTGTCCCACACTATCTCTCCACTCTCCCACACCATCTCTCCACTCTCCCACACTATCTCTCCACTCTCCCACACTATCTCTCCACTCTCCCACACTATCTCTCCACTCTCCCACACTATCTCTCCACTCTCCCACACTATCTCTCCACTATCTCTCTACTGTCCCACACCATCTCTCCACACTCCCACACTATCTCTCCACTCTCCCACACTATCTCTCCACTCTCCCACACTATCTCTCCACTATCTCTCTACTGTCCCAATCTGTCTCTCCACTTTCTCACACTATCTCTCCACTCTCCCACACTATCTCTCCACTTTCCCACACTATCTCTCCACTATCTCTCCACACTATCTCTCCACTCTCCCACACCATCTCTCCACTCTCCCACACTATCTCTCCACTCTCCCACACTATCTCTCCACTATCTCTCCACTCTCCAACACTATCTTTCCACTCTCTCCACTATCTCTCCACTCTCCCACACTATTTCTCCACACTCCCACACTATCTCTCCACTCTCACACACTATCTCTCCACTCTCTCCACTCTCCCACACTATCACTCCACTCTCGCACACTATCTCTCCACTATCTCTCCACTCTTTCACACTATCTCTTCACTCTCCAACACTATCTTTCCACTCTCCCACACTTCCTCTTCACTCTCCCATACTATCTCTCCACTATCTCTCTACTGTCCCACACTATCTCTCCAGTCTCCAACACAATCTCTCCACTCTTCCACACTATCTCTCCACTCTCCCACACTATCTCTCCACTCTCCCACACTATCTCTCCACTATCTCTTCTCTCTGTCACACTATCTCTCCACTCTTCCACACTATCTCTCCACACTCCCACACTGTCTCTCCACTCTCCCACACTATCTCTCCACTCTCCCACACTATCTCTCCACTCTCCCACACAATCTCTCCACTTTCTCCACCATCTGTCCACTCGTTCACACTATCTCTCCACTCTCCAACACTATCTCTCCACTCTCCCACACTATCTCTCCATTATCTCTCCACTCTCACAAACTACCTTTCCACTCTCTCCAATATCTCTCCACTATCCCACACTATCTCTCTACACTCCCACACTATCTCTCCACTCTTACACAATATCTCTCCACTCTCTCCACTATCTCTCCACTGTCCCACACTATCTCTCCACTCCCCCACACTATCTCTCCACTCTCCCACACTATCTCTCAACTCTCACACACTATCTCTCCACTCTCTCCACTATCTCTCCATTGTCCCATACAATCTCTCCACTCTCCCACACTATCTCTCCACACTCCCACACTATCTCTCCACTCTCACACACTATCTCTTCACTTTCTCCACTCTCTCACCACTATCCCACACTATCTCTCCACTCTCCCACACTATCTTTCCACTCTCCCACACAATCTCTCCACTATCTCTCCTTTGTCTCACACTATCTCTCCACTTTCCCACACTATCTCTCCACACTTCCACACTATCTCTCCACTCTCACACACTATCTCTCCACTCTCCCACACTACCTCTCCACTCTCCCACACTATCCTTCCATTATATCTCCACTCTCACAATCTATCTTTCCACTCTCTCCACTATCTCACCACTGTCCCTCACTATCTCTCCACTATCTCTCCACTCTCCCACATTATCTCTCCACACTCCCACACTATCTCTCCACTCTCACACACTATCTCTCCACTCTCTCCACTCTCCCACACTATCACTCCACTCTCGCACACTATCCCTCCACTATCTCTCCACTCTTTCACACTATCTCTTCACTCTTCAACACTATCTTTCCACTCTCCCACACTTCCTCTTCACTCTCCCACACTATCTCTCCACTATCTCTCTACTGTCCCACACTATCTCTCCACTCTCCTACACTATCTCTCCACTCTTCCACAGTATCTCTCCACTCTCCCACACTATCTCTCCACTCTCCCACACTATCTCTCCACTATCTCTCCTCTCTGTCACACTATCTCTCCACTCGCCCACACTATCTCTCCACACTCCCACACTATCTCTCCACTCTCCCACACTATCTCTCCACTCTCCCACACTATCTCTCCACTCTCCCACACAATCTCTCCACTTTCTCCACCATCTCTCCACTCGTTCAAACTATCTCTCCACTCTCCAACACTATCTCTCCACTCTCCCACACTATCTCTCCATTATCTCTCCACTCTCACAAACTATCTTTCCACTCTCTCCACTATCTCTCCACTGTCCCACACTATCTCTCTACACTCCCACACTATGTCTCCACTATTACACAATATCTCTCCACTCTCTCCACTATCTCTCCTCTGTCCCACACTATCTCTCCACTCCCCCACACTATCTCTCCACTCTCCCACACTATCTCTCCACTCTCCCACACTATCTCTCCACTCTCCCACACAATCTCTCCACTATCTCTCCACTCTGTCACACTATCTCTTCACTCTACCACACTATCTCTCCACACTCCCACACTATCTCTCCACTCTCACACACTATCTCTTGACTCTCTCCACTATCTCACCACTGACCCACACTATCTCTCCACTGTCCCACACTATCTCTGCATTATCTCTCCACACTCATACACTATCCCTCCACTCTCCCGAACTATCTCTCCACTCTCCCACACTTTTGCTCCACTCTGACACACTATCTCTCCACTCTCTCCACTATTTCACCACTGTCCCAAACTATCTCTCCACTCTCCCACACTATCTCTCCACTCTCCAACACTATCTCTCCACACTCCCACACTATCTCTCCACTCTCCCACACTATCTCTCAACTCTCCCACACTATCTCTCCTCTCTCTCCACTATCTCTCCACTCTCCCACACTATCGCTCCACTCTCCCACACTATCCCTCCGCTATCTTTCTACTGTCCCAAACTATCTCTCCACTCTCCCACACGATCTCTCCACGATCTCTCCACTCTCTCACATTATCTCTCCACACTCCCACACTATCTCTCCACTCTCACACACAATCTCTCCACTCTTACACACTATCTCTCCACTCTCCCACACTATCTCAACACTCTCACACACTATCTCTCCACTCTCACACACTATCTCTCCACTCTCAAACACTATCTCTCCACTCTCTCCACTATCTCTCCACACTCCCACACTATCTCTCCACTCTCCCACACTATCTCTCCCCTCTCTCCACTATCTCTCTGCTGTCCCACACTATCTCTCCACTCTCCCACACTATCTCTCCACTATCTCTCTACTGTCCCACACTATCTCTCCACTCTCCCACACTATCTCTCCACTCTCTCCCCTATTTCACCACAGTCCCAAACTATCTCTCCATTCTCCCACACTATCTCTCCACTCTCCCACACTATCTCTCCCCTCTCTCCACTATCTCTCTGCTGTCCCACACTATCTCTCCACTCTCCCACACTATCTCTCCACTATCTCTCCACTCTTCCACACTATCTCTCCACTCTCACACACTATCTCTCCACTCTCCCACACTACCTCTCCACTCTCCCACACTATCCTTCCATTATATCTCCACTCTCACAATCTATCTTTC